TAGAATCTTACTGCAAAGAATCAAACATTTCTGATACAAATTGGCTGAGATATCTTTCTTCATTATATTTGATGAAAATTTGGTTGAGTGTATGACGTCCTTACTTGGCTAATTTGCATATTTTAAAAACTTGAATATCTCTGGAACGAAAAGAGATATTTGAAAATGGTAAACAGCGTTTTTCTTCTCATTCATACTACTTGTTTATGTTTTAAAATGGCTTAGATAGGAAAGATGGGATTTTCGTCATAGTACCACTTTAAATTTTATCTGTAATTTCTTGGCTTGTGCTGTCTGGTAAAAGGACGAAACAGGTATGTCCGTTCATTAACTCAATAGGCGGGCTTCATTTCATTAACTGATGAATAATAAACAAAGTTTGTTGTTTCTGGAAATTAATTTATGGACTTAATCGCAACTCGTCGTTAAGGTGGCTCAAAACAGTTTTCCAGCAGTTAGATTTTGATGGGTCATTATAACCACTCTTTATCACTTGATGCTACAATCATGGTATCAAAAAACTGCCCAATCAATGATGAACATGTTATCATTTTCGTGACACGATAGGGTGTCATAGCAACAGTATGACCTGCTAAAAACACCCTTAGTTTTAGGGGCTTCTAATTCAAAAAAAGGAACGGTGAGCTTTTTTAATATTATCAAATTCTAATGAACACTATAAGACACAACTTTTGGCAAAGTTTAGAAAAATTCTGTTCGTAGGGCTCAGAGCCACCTTAAATTTTCAAAACTTTAAGGTAGCTCTGAACCCTATGTACAGATTTTTTTAAAAACTTTGCCAAAAGGTGCGCCTTAATATGCTTATAAAAATTTGATAACATGAAAAAATTTCACCTTGCCCTTTTTGAATTAAAAGCCTCTAAAGCTGTAATTAAGGGTGTTTTTAGCAGGTCATACTGTTGCTATGGTAACCTATTGTGTCACGAAAATGATAACAACGTGTTCATCAATGATTGGGCCGTTTTTTTTGATACCATGATTGTAGCATCAAGTGTTCAAGAGTGGTTATAACGACCCATCAAAATCTAACTGTTGGAAACTGTTTCGAACCACCTTAAAAGAGAAACCACGCACGCGACAAACTATGAAAATGGCTGCACATGAAGCACTATTGTAAGAAGTAAAGTTCAGAAAATCGATCATATCATCTCAAGAAATGTGGTCTACAGTCGCTTCAGTTGAAGAAAGTTCAATGTTTTCGTTTGTGAGTTAATATTTGTAACAACTGATTATGAAATTCTGTTAGGAGAATTAGTCAGGTGGCTTATATAGGAAGAAGAGAATATTAATGTGTCCTGTTTGTTTGGTAAAGGTGTCAGACGCCGAGGCACGATGCAGTTGGATAGATCAGTATGATTCAGCTGCCAGGCAGTGTAGCCATGCCTACTGGTAAGTGTACCGACTAGTCTATTACAACTGTGTATGATCACATGCCACCATACTTGTGATCGCACTTCAACTCGTTCCAAATAAAGAGTGAATATTCGCTCCAATACCCCCNCCCACCACCAAGATGCTTTAGTACTCCGTAGCAGCTGTGGTTTGGGACAGTACGTAATCTTAACTTTGAGTGTCTGGTTTTTTTCCTGGGAATGAAAGCTGTAAGCCAAAGGCAGAGTGTCTGTGCTGGGAGGCTTTTTTGATTAGACGCAAAGTGACAAGACTGAATGTTGAGTGTCTCTCTTGTTAGGAAGGGTAACTGTAAGCGGACGGCACTGGGTCTAAGCTGCGAGGTTGGGAGGCGACAGCGTACATTTCACATACTCAGCGGATCAGTTCTCAGCGTATGGAGCAAGGTGGAAAGTGTTTTAGCGGGTCAGCCTGGAGCTAATTCCAAAGTGCAAATTGTACGTTGTAGAAAGAGCGATGGATCCAGAATTGTTGGTGAGTATTGTAAAACATATTCCAGAAATTCATAACTGCTTCCTCGCTAAGAGAAAGTTTTTGTCTCGCTGTAAATGGCAATGTTGAGTATAGATGAAAGCTACATGTATAAAACTATATACAGCAGGGGACTACAGGACGTCGACCATCAGGAGGAATGTCCACGAGAGAATCGAGAGACTGTAAGAATATCCATCATGTCTGTTGATGCTTTATACTATATGCATGAAATCTATCGACATGGTAGATTGGCGACTATCTCTGACCAGTGATTTTACCAGGATATTTGTTTCAGTACACGCACTTGCTGACGGTGTTGATTTCCTATTATTGTTTTTTCTCGTAGGGTGTCTTATTCCAAGTAACTGTGTTCCTCCTCTGTCAAGAGCTCTCCTTACCACAGACGCTCAACAGGAACCCATCTTAATCATGTAAAGATAAAACGTCTATTTTGGCATACGAAATCTAATTTTCTGGTGTAAAAAGTGTACAGATAGATAGTAGAATACGTTAAATTATTTAAGTGGTCCCTTGAACGGCACTTAAGGTTCAAGCAAAATTGTTTACAGTCAATTTAGGCGAATTGCTATTTATAGGTTCAAGAAAGATGCAGTAACAGCTTTGTAATTTAAAATTCGAAATAATTCATTTTTGTTTCGTTGCTGTTTAGTTGCACCAAAATATTGGTTCGAAACAGTAATGGCATATTTCTACAGCCATTTTTTTTCCAGTTTATTTACTGTTTCGTGTGTCTCGGTTTGTGTGACTGGTGCACCGGTAAAGCTCCGAGCTCAGAGCGAGAAAAATGTCTGCGATACTCAAAACTATAAATGGCGTTAACCATTTTGTTTCTATAAATACATGTGATGCCAGATAAAGAGAAATTACAATTGCGTGAAAACAATGACGGGTCGAATTTTTGCAAGATTTTAAAGACCAGCATTAGGGTGAGTAGAATATATTTCGCCAGAGTTTGTTCTAGGCTCCGTCAATTCTGCTAGTTAATAGCTTTAGTCTCGTCCTTATAGGTTCTGTTTTGCTTGACACCTGCACTTATCAGTGTTACATGTACTTAACTTATTTTTTCAGTGACTGTTTGTGTATCACTTTTTGCGTGACTGATCTAGTTCATTTACATCGCCAGTGTCTTGTTAATGTAAAGCTATTACAAACCCCAGCAGAAAATGCTTTTTCTTTTGTTCCTTCGACGAAATTTAAACTGTAACTGACTGCTGTACATTTTCATAGATTAAGAGATTGCTTTTATAGCCCAGGGCGTTGTGTTTCGATGAACTGTGAAGTTCACATATCTTTAAGACCCTTTAATACTGATGGAAGTAGTAAAAGTCCAGTTTGTATATCAGTGTTCGTAATTATCACTTGTTTGGAGGATGTTCGACAATAACGCAACATTATACCGACATTCAATTCGTTCAAGCTCGTTTGTTTTACTCTTGTATTTTCCTTGTCTTGAAAGAATCTGCCCTGCATTGTTTGTTCCATTAACGGAAAGACGATGAGTTATGATGTGAAGTATATATGAAATAATTCATATTTGAACTGCGGTTGTAGATGAAAGTGAAGAATGATC